GCAGAATTTTGAAAGAGAATATTTCTTTGGAGGTTTGCGGTTCATCTGGAAGATAATTAACAAAATCATTAGCAGAATTAATATAGTTAACAGTAACATAATGGTAGTTAAAATAATAACAATACAAATAACAACAGGAGTAATGATAATAATAATAAAGACAATAATAATAGTAATAATGATTGTACATACTATAGTAACAAAACAATATCAATAATAATAATAATAATAATAATAAAGGTGGCAATTATATCCATTTCGCCATCACAGTCTGAAGGGAAAAGAAAGCTATTTGTCTATCTAAGTGCAATGTTTTCCGTTGAAATTAATAATTAACTTGATACAGAGTTTGCGTGAGTGCATGTGTGTGTGTTTGTTTGTGTGTGCGTGTGTGAGTATGAGAGAATGTGTGTGTGTCTATGTGTGTGCGTGCGTGCGTGTGTGTGTAAGTGTGAGAGAGAGTGTGTGTGTGTGTGTGAGTGCGTGTATGTGTGTGTGTGTGTGTACATGCCCTGTGCGCGCGTGTATGTGTGTGTGGATGAATTTATGTGCATTACCAACGTTCTTATGGAGAACAACAGTAATATACAAAACTCCTAAATTAAGGGGAAAAAGGAAATGCAGTATATATCATACATCAGCCAACACTACATGGTATTTAAGAGAAATATGCTCGTTATTCAAGTCATATTTCGGTCGTTTCCGGGATTTAAAAGCTAGTTAACGTGGGACGCTATTTAACGAGAGTCTCGCCGTACAAACTATTCTGTGCCATGACAAATAGCTAGTTCAATTGTTCAAGCCAGTTAACATATTTCATAATGTATGATGAAATAATCTGCATTTTTATGAAAAAAAGTCGAATACCACTATTGAGTATTATTTTCATTTTGTAACATTTCGGTTGATGTCATTACTTTTCTAGAAACGAACTACCATTCAGAATAAAATGAAGGGCTTTTTTACGGAATAAAATAGTGTGGTCTATTGATGAATTTTACGCTGGAAAGTTGAGAGAAAGGGGTGGAATAAAGAGGAGAATGGAACACCAGCTAAGGCAGAGTTCAAAGTAAATGATTATTAATTTATTATTCGCTGCCTCTTCTTTTTTTTCGTTTTCCTCCGTTATCTCTTTCTATATTACTATATCTATCTGTCTTTATCTCTCTCTATCTCTCTCTCTCTCTCTCTCTCTCTCTCTCTCTCTCTCTCTCTCTCTCTTCTCTCTCTCTCTCTCTCTCTCTCTCTCTCTCTCTCTCTCTCTCTCTCTTCCTCTCCTCTCCCTCTTCTCTCTCCTCTCTCTCTCTCTCTTTCTCTCTCTCCCTCTCCTCTCTCTCCTCTCGTCTCTCTCTCTCTCTCTCCTCTCTTCTCTCTCTCTCTCTCTCTCTCTCTCTCTCTCTCTCTCTCTCTCTCTTCTCTCTCTCTCTCTCTCTCTCTCTTCTCTCTCTCTCTTCTCTCTCTCTCTCTCATCTCTTTCTCTCTCTCCCTCCTCTCTCTGTCTCTGTCTCTGTCTCAGTGTCTCTCTCTCTCTCTCTCAAAAATAGATCTATTGTTAGTGTTGCATGAGTGGCAAATAGGCACAACTCGCAATCAATTCATATATTTATTCATGAAAAGTCTACTTTTTTTCAACTATCCTGCGAGCATCTTTGCAGACAGAACCGCTTTAAGCATATGTTGATGCAATTAAAAGATATATAGCGTGACCTTAATTCTACCCTTTTTTTTTAATTAATTAAAAAATCTAGACACATCAGTCCTTGAACCGCTCGATTATATCAACACCGCAATGGATGATAAATCATTATAGTAATGGCCATTACCGTTCGCCATTTTTATTAATTTCCTGGTTATCTGAATCCTGTTTGCAATTAAAAGCATTATTTTGCATATTCACAAAAACAGAAAGTACATGATTGTAGTTTTCATTTTGACAATACACTTACCATCTTTGGCAATTTTTGTTTTATTTAACTTATAATCAAATGCTGTATGCGAACACTAGTACTTTCCTTTAAATTAAAAGATAGAAAAATCGCAACTATGACAGTGCTTACATGGTAAACTTCATTAAACTCGAAACATAGATAGAACTTGACAATTGACTTATAGTATATACTTAAGAAATTCCGATATCATTTTTTTTATTATTGATTAGTTCGATGAGGACGTTTTTATCAGATGCCCATGTGAGTTAAACTAATTGTGTATTATCCAAAGGTATGAGAGAGAGGAGTAGACGAGGATAGACGATGTAGAGAGAGATGAGAGATGAGTGTGAGAGAGAAGTGTATGATGGAAGATCTGAGGATGAAAGATGAGAGAGATTAGGATGAGAGATATCGGAGTTGAGAGAGAATTTAGATGTGATTAGGAAATAGATGTAGATGAGGATGTGTAGGGTAGGAAGTAGAAGACGATTGAGAAGATAAGGGAGCCTGATGTCTGGGAGATGAGAAAAGATTGAGGAGAGAGAGAGAGGATGAGAGATGAATTGTAGAGATAGAGTATTATGTGAGAGAGTGATGGAGAGATGATGATATGATTGATAGAGATGAGAGTATAGATTGACATAAGAGCAATACAGAAGATGATAGAAGGGAGGAGGCTGACTGAGGGATGAGAAGTGAGTAGCGAGTAGAAAGAGAAGAGTGAAGAGAGAGAGAGAGAGTGAGAGAGAGAGATGAAGAGAGAGATAAGAGAGTAGAGAGATGCGATGACATTAGACGATGAGAGATGAAGACGAGAGCAGAGAGAGCGAGAGAATGGAGTGAGAGAACACAACTAGACAGGACAGACCAGAGACAGATAGACCCAGACAGAAGACAGGACAGACAGACAAAGCAAACGGGCTAGAAAGCGAGATAGAGAGAGGCAATAGAGAAAAAATGGTAACCGAGAGAGAGGACTGATAGTCGCTCTGTCGTTTCTGCCATTTACCTGTCCAATTAACCTTCACGTGAGATTCTGTTGAAAGCAGTTACGAAAATAAGCCAGAAACTTTAGAGAGAAGGACAAAAGATGATAAAAATTGTTGCAACGGGGGAAAAGGACAGTAATGATGACTATGGAACAGAGAGCTAAAATGACACTCATGACGTGTGTGTGTGTGTGTGTGTGTGTGTGTGTGTGTGTGTGTGTGTGTGTTGTGTGTGTGTGTGTGTGTGTGTGTGTGTGTGTGTGTGTGTGTGTGTGTGTGTGTGTGTGTGTGTGTGTGTGTGTGTGTGTGTGTGTGTGTGTGTGTGTGTGTATCATGTGTGTGTGTATGGATGTATATAAACATGTATATATTTATCCATTCTATCTATCTATCTATAAATATATATGTGCATGTACACACAACACACACACACACACACACACACACATCACACACACACACACACACACACACACACACTATAATATATATATATATATAATATATATAATATAATATATATATATTATATATATATATATTATGCACGCGCACACACACACACACACACATATACATATATATAGTATTTATATATAATATATATATATATATATATATATTATATATAATATATATATATATATATATATATATATATATATATATATCAATATATAATATATATATATATATATATATAATATATATATATATATATATACATATGATATGATGATAACAATAATAACAATAGTAATGATAATGATACTGATAATGTTCATAGCAAGAACAACAACAAAAACAATAATAATGAAAATAACAGTAATGATGTTAACAATGATAATGGCAATAATGATAATAACATGGACAACGAGGATAATAACAATAACAGAATATAGCACTGCACTAGAATAATAAAAGTAAACACATAAAGAAATTACGTAGTCAATAAACAAAAGATAAAACGAAATATGAAAGATAAAAAAAAAAAAATGATAAGCCTTTTTGTTGGTTTATACACTGACAGGACAAAGTTCCATGGTTATCTTCACTGTATTTTATTTACCTCTTTTATTGACGTGAAAAAGCACCTGATTCGACCTCGGACCACGGTGCGTAGGAAAAGATAAGAGAAATAGAAAAGGCTGATAAGATACAGATGCACACACACACGCACTTTCATGTACAGTGAACCCTCGTGTTTCGCGGGGGTTACGTTCCATTTTTTTTTTTTTTTTTTACAATTATTATACAATGAAATACTCTACAATACATTGAAGCCAAAGAACAAAACCTTTTTACAGGCCAAACATTGTTTAACAAATAAAAGTACTGTATAACGTTTTTTACAAATAACTACTGTACTGTAAAATTATAATTTTAATCATCAATACGAACTGAAGGCTTCATGGGTTTTAGAGAAAATTTGCAAACTTAAATTTGGCAAGCTGTTTTACGTAATTATATAACTAAATAATATAAACCGTACCGTTATTGACACACAGGTAGAGAAGAAGCGGAGAGACTGTTTAGCCAATCAGAATGCAGAACACAATGCACAATGCAAATCCGCGAAGCAGCGAGAATGCGAAAGGTGAACCGCGTTATAGCGAGGTTTCGCTGTACTCGCGGTCATATGCCAACGCACACGCACATACACACACACACACACAGACACATTCACACACTCTTTCTCTCTCTCTCTCTCTCTACATACATATATATGTGTGTATATAAATACATACATACATATATATATATATGCAATGAAAAACACAATACCGTGTTGATAATATGGAAGAAAAACCCACAATGCACAAACTAGATTTGTATGCATGTATCTCTCTCTCTCTCTCTCTCTCTCTCTCTCTCTCGCTCCTCCCCTTCCTCCTCTCTCTTTCTCTCTCCTCTCCAACCCTCCTTACCTCCCTTCCTTCCTCTATCTCTCTTCTCCCTCCCTTTCTCTCTCTCTCTCTTCTCTCTCCTCCTATACCATTCTTCCTCCATTTTTCTCATGCAGACTCACTTTCCACGGAGATAAGATAGCCCCCTTGAAGACCAGTCGTGGCAGTAGCATCCCGCTGCCCGTCGAAGTAACACCTCCGCTCGTGCTCTCCGTGGACCGAGGATGTCGAGCTTCGTGGAGCAAGTAGGGTCGTTTTTCTATATCATTAACCCGAACACCACGACCTTCGAGCACGTGGAGGAAGTCCCGAATTATGTCAATGACGTGAGTTGTTTTATTTCTTTTATTAGCGATTTTTCTTTTCGTTTTAGTTATCTGTCAAATTAGTTTATTTATTCTAGTTTTATTCTTATTTACTTCTAATTATCATATTGAGGAAGAAATGCAAAACAAAAGCAAAAGATAGCGATAGCGAGACAGACAGAAAAATAAAAGAAAGTAAATAAAAGAAAATTAAAATAAAAAGAAAATCAAAGAAAAGCAAAAGATAGCGAAAGCGAAACAGACAAAAAAAAAAAAAAATAAAAAAAAAATAAACGAGACAGGAAAATCTTACTCCTTATTGTAACTCCGACTTAATACATAACCTTCCAAATACAATCCACAGCGTTATATAAACATAAACAAGAAACATTACACAACATTACGAATAATACCGTTATTAAAATTTCCTGCACCACACAACCGAATAATCCGTTAAATAAACATAATCCTATCACCAACATTACGAATAATACCTTATATAAACCTAATCCTACACCACACATTGCAATAATACCGTATATAAACAAATCCTGACACCACAACACTACGAATAATACCGTTATATAACGTAAAAATGACACCCACAACAACATATATACCGAATAATCCTGACACCACACATTGCGAATAATACCGTTATAATTAATCCTGACACCCAAAAATTGCGAATAAATACCTGTTAATAAAACTATAATCCTACACCACAACATTGCGAATAATAATACCGTTATATAAACATGAATCCTGACACCACAACATTGCGAATAATACCGTTATATAAACATAATCCTGACACCACAACATTGCGAATAATACCGTTATATAAACATAATCCTGACACCACTCAAATTTACCGAATAAATACACCTTATATATAGACATAATCCTGACACCACAACATTGCGAATAATACCGTTATATAAACATAATCCTGACACCACAACATTGCGAATAATACCTATATTATAACATTAATCCTGACACCACAACATTGCGAATAATACCGTTATATAGAGACATAATCCTGACACACAACATTTGCGAATAATACCGTTATATAAACATAATCCTGACATCCGAATTAATTCCACTGACACTAAAACACTGCGAATAATACTGTTATATAACGTAATCCTGACACCACAACATGCGAATAATTACGTTATATAGACTTAATCTACACCACAACACTACGAATAATACCGTTATATAAACATAATCCTGACACCACAACATTGCGAATAATACCGTTATATAGACGTAAACCTGACACCACAACATTGCGAATAATACCGTTATATAAACATAATCCTGACACCACAACATTGCGAATAATACCTATTAAACATTAATCCTGACACCCACACATACGAATAATACCGTTATATAAACATAACCTGACACCACAACACTGCGAATAATACCGTATATAAACATTACACAACATTCAATAATACACATATAACATCATAATCCTTGACACCATACGAATTACCGTTATATAAACGTAAACCTGACACCACAACCTACGAATAATACCGTATATAAACATAATCCTGACCCACAACTCATGCGAATAATACCGTTATATAAACATAATCCTGACACCACAACATTGCGAATAATACCGTTATATAGACGTAATCCTGACACCACAACACTGCGAATAATACCGTTATATAAACATAATCCTGACACCACAAACATGCGAATAATACCGTTATATAAAAAATCCTGACACCACAACATTGCGAATAATACCGTTATATAAACATAATCCTGACACCACAACACTACGAATAATACCGTTATATAAACATAATCCTGACACCACAACATTGCGAATAATACCGTTATATAGACGTAAACCTGACACCACAACACTTACGAATAATACGTTATATAAACATAATCTGACACCACAACATTGCGAATAATACCGTTTATCATAGACCGTAAAACTCATGATCACCACAGACCGAATTAACCGCAATAAATTACCTATAGCACAGTCATATAAACATAATACCTGAACACCACAACATATCGAATTAATTACCGATTATACATAAACATAATCCTGACACCCACAGACATTACGAATAATACCGTTAATAAACATGAAATCCTAACTACAACAACATTGCGAATAATACCGTTATATAAAATAATGCGTAACCCTGACACCACAACATTGCGAATAATACCTTTAATAAACAAACCTGGAACCACAACATAAATACCGTTATATAAACATAATCTGACAACCCACAACCATTGCGAATAATACCGTTATATAAACATAATATCCTGACACCCACAAACACTTGCGAATAATACCGTTATATAACACTAATGCCTGACACCACAACATTACCTGAACATTCCGTTATATAGACGTAATCCTGACACCACAACATTACGAATAATACCGTTATATAAACATAATCCTGACACCACAACATTGCGAATAACTTCATATAAACTATAACCTGCACCACAATTGGCGAATAATACCGTGTATATAGAACATAATCCTGACACCACATAACCATTGCGAATAATACTTATAATAAACGTAAATCCTGACACCCACAACATGCGAATAATACCGTTATATAAACAATAAACAAGAACATTACACAACATTGCGAATAATACCGTTATATAAACATAATCCTGACACCACAACATTGCGAATAATACCGTTATATAAACATAATCCTGACACCACAACACTACGAATAATACCGTTATATAGACGTAAACCTGACACCACAACACTACGAATAATACCGTTATATAAACATAATCCTGACACCACACACATTGCGAATAAATACCGTTATATATAAAGCATAATCCTGACACCACAAGCATGCGGAATAATACCGTGTATATTAGACATAATCCTGACACCACAACATTGCGAATAATACCGTTATATAAACATAATCCTGACACCACAACATTGCGAATAATACCGTTATATAAACATAATCCTGACACCACAACACTGCGAATAATACCGTTATTATATAAAAAACATAATCCTGACACCACAACATTTGCGAGATAATACCGTTATATAAACATAATCCTGACACCACATACATGCGAATAATACCGTTATCATAAACATAATCCTGACACCACAAACATTGCGAATAATACCGTTATATAAAACATAATCCTGACACCCACAACATTTGCGAATAATACCGTTATATAAACATAATCCTGACACCACAACACTACGAATAATACCGTTATATAAACATAATCCTGACACCACAACATTGCGAATAATACCGTTATATAGACGTAAACCTGACACCACAACATTGCGAATAATACCGTTATATAAACATAATCCTGACACCACAACATTGCGAATAATACCGTTATATAAACATAATCCTGACACCACAACATTGCGAATAATACCGTTATATAAAATAATCCTGACAACAACATTTACGAATAATACCGTTATATAAACATAAACAAGAACATTACACAACACATTACGAATAATACCGTTAATATAACATAATCCTGACACACAACATTGCGAATAATATACAAAACCTTTTTTTTTCAGGCTGTTCCGGTGTTCATATCCTTTCTGGTCCTCGAACTTCTAGTAGGATTCGCTACAGGGAAGAAAATAGCGAGGTTTAACGATGGAATCACCTCGTTGGGCCATGGCCTCGTTTACGAAGCGTGCAAGTGGGTTATTCGTTTTATTTTCAAATGGGTTAAATTTTTTTTTTTTTTTTTTTTTTTTTTTTTTTTTTTGTCTTTTTCTTTTTCAGTTTTTTTTTTTTTTTTTTTGTTTTTTTTACATGTGGGTTATTTTTTTTTTCTTTCTTTCTTTTTTCTTTTTTTTGCATTGGGTTTTTTTTTTTTTTTTTTTTTGTCTTTTCTTCTACATGTGGGTTATTTTTCTTTCTTTCTTTCTTTCTTTCTCTTTTGTCTTTTCTTCTATATGTGGGTTATTTTTTTCTTCTTTCTTTTTTCTTTCTTTTCTTCTTACATGTTTTTTTTTTCTTTCTTCTTTCTTTTTTTTTTTGTCTTTTTTCTATATGTGTTATTATTTTTTTTTTTTGTCTTTCTTCTACATGTGGTTATTATTTTTTCTTCTTCTCTTTTCTTTCTTTTTGTTCTTTTCTTCTATTGTGGGTTATTTTTTTTTTTTTTGGTCTTTTCTTCTACATGTGGGTTATTTTTTTTTCTTTCTTTCTTTTTTTTTGTCTTTTCTTCTATATGTGGGTTATTTTTTCTTCTTTCTTTCTTTTCTTCTTTTTTTTTCTATATGTGGTTTTTTTTTCTTCATGGGCTTAAAAAAAAAAAATTGTGTGAGTTATTGTGTGTGTGTTTTTTTTTTAAGGTAGGTTATTTATGTACTTATTTACGTGTTTTTTTTTTTTTTTTTTTTTTTTTCTTTTTAGGGAAATTGTCTTTGCATTAGGTTAGAACTGCGTGAAAGAAAAATTCTTGTTATGTTATGACTGTATTATTTATTCCTATTTTCATAGAAATCATCTTTTAAAAGGGTTTATCTGGCAAGTATATTTGATTTTTTTTCAATGTTTTCTATCCTTTTGGTTAGTTTTATATCTGATTTTTTAAAGATTTGTGGTGTGTTTTGTTTGAAGAATGACCAATGAATATTATAATAAAGATGCTTTTAAAAATGTGAGAAAGTGTTTTATAATATTAAAAAGAGGTGTTTCCTAATAGTAAAAATGTATATTGAAGATTTGGGTGCACGTAATATTGAAACCCAAGATAAAATAAAGAAACAACAATTATAAATCTAATTTATCGTAAACAAAACAAATTTTAATTAATCCTTATCACAAATATTGACCAACAAGCTCGAGTCGGTCCCATTCGATTTTGTTGCAATACCATCTTTCCAATATAAATATATATTATACTATACTCATATATAATATACTAATTACACATAATATATACTAAAAATACCCTAATATACTATTATATTTATATATTTCTTTTTTTTTTTTGTTTTTTTTTTTTTTAGTATTTTTCTTTCAAATATTCCACGGAGCGAAAAATCACCATACGGAAAAATATATAGATTTTTTTTTCGTTATTTCACATAATGGTCTTATGTCATTATTCACTACTATAAAACATAAACAAGCCTGATATTTATATTATAGGACAATGAAAAACGTACAATCAGTAGATTAGAACATAAATGAGAGATAATAAACGTGATAAAAAAAGAGAGAGAGGATTTATTCAATACGAAAGTTGAGTAAAGTATATTCGATACAAAAGTAAGTAGAAGTGGTAAATAAAAGAGTCAGACATATATAATATATACACCACACACCACATTATATATATATATATATATTATTCACCACACACACACAACAACACAACACACACACTACACACATACAACACAACATATACACACACACCAACATACCACACACCACATATAAACATAATACAGTATGTGAGCATACATACACTCATCGTCTACATATACCAGCGACACTAACAACATACATACTCACCTATAACAGTACACTACAGTGAGACACGTCCTAATGCAC